TGTCGTGCAATTTGATTAGTCAAATCTTTCCCCTTAATCTCATTAATTAATCACTCATCATTGTGTAATATGCTAAACAAAATATTTTTATTATGCAGAGAGAAGAAGAAACGAAACTATCATTCCCTTTCAAGAGATGAAGAAGAAAAGGTTAGCAAAGTAAATTGCACAACTCAATATTTCATGTCTCAATTACTAATTAGGGGGATATCGCTGGAAAGTTTATTAAGAAAAAGGAAAGTCTAGAGATTCAAAGAGTTGGTCGTTGCAGACTCGGAAGAAGTATAAAAAGCAGAAGGAGAAAGAAGCAAATCGTTAAAAATGCGGAGAGAGTTGTTGTGAGGTCAAAGCAACTACAAACGGTGTGATTAACAATATGTGTTTTGTATATGTTGGCACCATTTATAGAGAGTTCCATATGAGTCTAGAAATGTGTGGAAATACTTTACTTGGATGCTAAGTTGGAAGATAGCCAAAGTGATTATGCTAGAGAATTCTAGTCCTACTTTATCTCCCAAAAAATCTTATAGAAGAGCCTATAAATATAGCCTCTCGGCTTTTAATCGATACATAAGTTGTACAGGATGTGACTATGAAAACAGAAAAACTCATCGTTCCCTAAATTATCAGAAAACTCAAGGGCATAACGGTGGCAGAATTGGCGCCCTACACCGTCAATTTCTCTTCTTGCCGTAGTTTTTTAGAGATTTTTGGAAATCTTGTCTTCGACTGATGTTATCCCTAGCTCCTGTCCACATGAGTGGCTAGTTCGTCAATTGTCTAAGTTTGTGAACCCTAGAGGTTCTTTAGACGATTTAATTGCAAAGGCTAGTGTACACTTGAAGTACGCTCTACACCTGGTTCACACTTGTTATATGAACTTTGATATATTTTAATAAATCAGAACCGTCAATTACTATTTGTTTAGCTTAAATGAATTTTATGGTTCGTGTTAGAGAATTAGGCCAACTTCATCCCTGGAGGCATCTCAATATCCATATTCATTTTACAAACCCAAAAGCATGTCCCTTACCGATTGAGTAAGGAGACATGCGAGGCACGAAGGAAATACGATCCTAGTTACAAACCATGTAAATTTGACCCCTTGTTCTAAAACAGATAAGTGAGCGTAGTGATTCTCTGTTTAGCGACGAGTGTGCGAATATGATAAAATGGACGATCTCATTGCTTATTCTGTAAAAGGGTTTAAGTTCTACCCAAATGAACTCAACTTGGAGCCAACATAAATCAATAAGACAAAACCCTAGGAAATTAGGTCTCAAAGGGCGGACACCTTTGAGTCGAGACGTAAGTAATAGGTTGAACTCGGTTAATATGAAGTCTTGTGGCATCTTCTTCCCTCTATGCCTCTTTTCAATATATTTGATGCATACTATGTTTTTGGTTAAGACTCTGTTTTATAAGGATCGTTGAAGGCGGGAAACATTACATATTTAACAAGTTGCTATGTCTTCGGACTTGACGAGTGGACTGGGCAACTAACAGTGGGCTAGCTCAAAGTCCAAAATCTGACAACTCACTATACCTCTATGATGACACTTGACTTTCGGTCATATGTAGTGGATCATAAGAAGCTTATAAGGGCAACCCTTGCACTTAGAAACCTTTGACACTTGTAATGATGTGCAAACGTACTTTGTAAGGACGAAATGATTCGTCTCTCACGAGATGGTGTTCTCTTTCTCTTACTTGAGTCTTGTTATACAAAGATAGGCGTGAAGGTTATGTAGCTTGATTAGGAAGTATTTATACTCCTGTCTACGAAAAGTCTTTTTGAACCGTTTTGGTATGAAGACGTGCCTACCTAGCTACTTTGCACACATCGTGCTCTTTTATACACGAAAGTGGGTTTATTAAACTTTTTTGTTTGGTATTTAGCAGCATGATCAAGCAAGAGCAATTTATGCTCCTTTTCCTTGATCATGTGGAGGGTCGATGAAATCAAGGGGTGTCGGAAGCTTTGTTTGTGCCCTTGTAACATATCCATAAGTTGGCGGTCCTCTCTATGGGTGGAAATTTAACTTGTACTGCAAAGGAACTAGCATCATCTCGTAGTACTTCCCCACTAAGATACAACTAGTATATATATTCCAAAATCTGATTCTGATCAATGAGAGGCCGCCTCGCACTTGGCTTTTTACCCATATTTTAGTTAAGGTGGCAACGTCATTTAAGATAGACTTGTCATGGTAGGATTTTGAATATATAAAGCTGCATATCGACCCCTTTTTAGCTTTAAGCACAGAAGACTCACGCGAGGGGGTTGAGAACTCATCCACACTTATGAGATAAGTTCTCAAGATGGGTCCAAGGTTCATGACAAGGACATCCTTCATAGACCATACACTAGCCTCCCTAGATCACGTGTTAACACAGATACTAGCAATTTAAACTATGACAAACTTCGAATTTGCTTTATGGTGTGGCATTACTCAAAATTTGTATAATTGAATGCATAAATGCACATACAAGATCCTTTTCCCAAATGCATGAACATTCACAATATCATGGTATATAGAATGAAGAACAATCTACCTAAATCCCACCCCTGACTTTAAATGGGACAATGTTCTTATTGGACCAAACAAGGAGTACAGAGTAAAATAGAAAGAAATTTACCGGTTTTCTTGAAATCTATGAAGCTTGGCCATTTCCTTGATGATTGGTTTCCATGAACAAATGACAAAAACAAAACAAATTGGGTTATCTCTCATCAGTATTTTTGTTTAACGTCTTTAAGTTAGACACTAGGCATGGGTTGCCTCATAAAGAGCGCTCTCTCTTTTACGCCTTTGAGCTGTGCGAAGGTTCAATTCAATGGTCGATGAGTAATTTTAGCACCTCCACCATGCCAAAAGGATCTTGGTCCATGTAAGACTCTGCCCGCTGCCCATTGACCTTAAAGGAGTGCCCCACGTCACTCAACAGTTCTACTTCTCCATATGGAAAAACTCTTTGATGACAAAGGGCCCGAATCATTTTGATTTGAGTATACTAGGAAATAGAGGGTGTGGCCCATTAACTCAAGTAAAGGCTTTAGAGTTACATTCAAACTTCTGTGTACTTTGCTCGAGTAAGAGCTTAGATTTCGTAGGAGAGTATGCGACTAAGGAGAAGTTGTCATCATCGATGGTGGTACCCTACTTCTCTTCTATGTATTTATTTCTAAATTGATTGTATGTGGATGTGCACTCGTTTATCATTGTATGTATTGATGCTATGATTTCATGTCATGCTTGTGTTTATACTTGTGGATTTTGATGCTCATTGTGTATGAATGGATGATTGGTTTTTTATGCTTATGTGATGATCATTGTTGTTTATCTAGTATGAATGCTTCTTTATCATTGATGCTTGGTATCATCTAGGTTGACAAGAAATTACCCTCTAGTACCCCATTGATGTTATAAGAATATAGAGGGATTGATAAACCATCTATACCTTGATTAGTATCAATGTTTGATTGTTAGATCATTGATTCTGTAGACCATCGATTATGGCTCGCAGTAGCCCACACTTAATCATGAGTTATCCTAACTTCCTTGTTCTTCATTAATTAGGTAATGAGATGAAGTGAAAGCATGCATTAGCTAGTAAAATCTCTATCGGATGAGTCACATGCACGGGTAGAGAATGGCCTTAGCCATTAGTGGAAGGGATAAAATGATGCTATAGATGAGTCATTGATGCATGATGTGAATGAGTATTAGTATTCATGAAATCTTAACTTCTTATACAATACAATAACGTATCTTTACTTTTATGCATTTATAAATTGAAAACCCTAAACAACGACAATATTCTTGCTTGTTAGTCAAATGAAAACCCCTAAATGCTTTTATTGTTTTCGTGTGAGCCAATGATGGTATGGTGTGACCATGTGAGTAGTTATGCATTAGAATTCCTTGCGGAATACGACCTTAGGACATCATAGGATTATAACTTCGATCTATGCCACATAAGCTACATGAGTATAGAGGAAATGAACAACCATCTATACCTCAAGTAGTATCCATGCTTGATGGTTAGATCGTAGATGCTATAGACCATTGATTATGTCTCAATAGGCCCACACTTAATCATGTGATATCCTCACTTCTGTGTTCTTCATTGATAAGGTGATGGCATGAAGTGAAAACACGCATTAGCTAGTCAAGTTGCTATTGAATGTGGCAAAAGCTCGAGTAGGATGGCTTTAGTACAAGGGATATAGTGATGGTATAGATGAATCATTGATGCATGATATGAATGAGTATTGATATGTATGATAGTACTCGAGTATGATTTCTTGTTCAATAACGTATCTTACTTTTATGCATCTATATAACTTGAAAACCCCATAAACAACTTTACTCTTCTTGCTTTGTCGTGCTTTGCTTGTTTGCTAAAAAGAAAAAAACACAAAGTCTTTACTATTCCTGTTCGAGCATAGATGGTGTGATTAGTTATGCATTAGAAGACCTCGTGGAATACGACCCTAGAGCATCTTATGACTTTTATCACTTGCATGTTACATATGCATCAAGTTTTTTGCACCATTGCATGGGAATTCTAATCATATATAGAAGCATCTAACCATCTTATGTCTCTTTGTAGTTTTAAGTTCAGTATGTTTTGCAGGTTGTCATATGAGTCCAATAATTACAAGAAGAAAACCCAAAAACCTAAAGATAGTGCAAGAGATCATCTAAGAAGGCGGAGCATTGAGTTCAACCATCTTGAGGATGAAGGAAGGAGAATCTAGCTCAGAAGAAGAGTGGCCTTCAAGTAAAACCATTTCCAAGCCAATCATGGAAGAGGAGGAGAACATTGGCGGAGACTGCAACTTCGATTCTGAAGAAGAAGAAGAAGAAGAAGAAGCTTGTTCAACATCTTCAACACCATCAATATATGGAGAATAAGTAGAAGGAAGAATGGCCATCCCACCTACTATTTATGAGTATTCAAGGCCAAGATCATCAAACATCATCTCAAGCATTGTTGCACCACCTACTAACATCGATATATGCACTCAACTAATCCAAATAGTGCAACAAGCTGGGAGATTTTTCAAGAAGGAATGATTATGATCATGTGCAACATCTGAAGATATAGTTAGAGATTGTCGATTCCATTCCATGAGATTAATTTACCAAAGACAGCATTCGAGTCCGGCTTTTCCTATTCTCTCTTGGGGGGAGGGAAAAGTAGTTGCTAGATCACCATCCACCAAGCACCTTCACCACATGGGAAACCCTTGCTAAAGTACTCATTGAAGAGTACTTTCCAACATGGAAAAAAGAGCTTAAAGATGAAATCACTCAATTTCAACAGTAGGTAGGAGAGACATTCTATGATGCTTGGAGGAGATTCCAAGAGTAAATCAATGTGTGCCCCTATCATGGATTAAAACCAAAGCATATTACAAAGAACCTCACCAAAGGCTTAAATAGAGATACCACTATGATGGTGAACTAGTCAGCCAATGGAGATTTCACAACAATGATGTGAGCATAATACCAAGAACATTTTGCCACACCGGCAAGGAAGTCAAAGAACTGGTCTAAATAACCATCAACAATCAAACCATTGAAGGCTATCCAAGGAAGTGAGGATGATGTCGCCACCCTTAGTGAACATATGAAGGAGCTGACAAAAAAACTAAAGAAAGCATCAATTGAGTAAATGAACGGACAAGTGGAATCTCTGTTCGTTTGTGAAGCATGTGGAGAAAAAGGCCACGAAGTTGTCGACTGCTATAGCCATGGAAGGAATTGACATGCCGATGTCAACTATAGTAACCAAGGCTACCAATCAAGACCTCAACAAGGAAGCTATCCTCCATACCAAAGTTTCAACCAACCCCGCATACCTTTTGGTCAATGGCCTGCCCAAGGAGGAAAGAAATCTGAGGACTACCCCAACATCACATTTACCCAATGTAGTCAAAAATACGATTCTACCTAGAAGCGGAGAAGGGGTACAATCATAAAGCTTAGTACTGAAGAGTAAAAGCGTATGTTTGTAATGCATCATGTAAAAATAACTAAAATCGGTTAAGTATGGCATTTACTATACAAAATTTGAGTATAGATTTTAGATAATTGAATAACCACCTACAAACTCATAACATCTTAACCATAAGTTCTTAAACATAAAACATAAGTAACTCAAAAACGAGTGGAAGAATACAAATTCCGATAAGCTAGTTTTAGATTACATAATGACAAATGAGTTTAATAGACCAAGTTCCTGAAAATTAAAATTAATGCACACAGATATTATGAATGATCACAAAGAAAACTACATTCAGTCATCGCCTTCAACGTTTGCATCCAAATCATCATTCTCTTCGCTTTACTACGTGACATATTGTTACTTGCACTAGTACTAGTACTAGTACCACCACTTGACATTAATACAGTTCTGCAGAAGTTCAACAAAGGCCTTAAAATCGTTCTGGCCATTTCAAAGAACATCAATATAATTCAGGATCAAGGAAACAGTTGGTTCAAAGTTAGTTTAAAATAGTTATGTCCAATTCAAAGAACATCAATATAGTTTAAAATAGTTATGTCCAGTACCAGTACCACCAAGTTCCTGAAAATTAAAATTAAAGCACACAGATATTATGAATGATCACAAAGAAAACTACATTCAGTCATCGCCTTCAATGTTTGCATCCAAATCATCATTCTCTTCGCTTTACTACGTGACATATTGTTACTTGCACTAGTACTAGTACTAGTACTAGTACCACCACTTGACATCAATACAGTTCTGCAGAAGTTCAACAAAGGCCTTAAAATCGTTCTGGCCAGTTCAAAGATCAATATAATTCAGGATCAAGGAAACAGTTGGTTCAAAGTTAGTTTAAAATAGTTATGTCCAATTCAAAGAACATCAATATAGTTTAAAATAGTTCTGTCCAGTACCAGTACCACCAAGTTCCTGAAAATTAAAATTAAAGCACACAGATATTATGAATGATCACAAGGAAAACTACATTCAGTCATCGCCTTCAACGTTTGCATCCAAATCATCATTCTCTTCGCTTTACTACGTGACATATTGTTACTTGCACTAGTACTAGTACTAGTACTAGTACCACCACTTGACATCAATACAGTTCTGCAGAAGTTCAACAAAGGCCTTAAAATCGTTCTGGCCAGTTCAAAGATCAATATAATTCAGGATCAAGGAAACAGTTGCTTCAAAGTTAGTTTAAAATAGTTATGTCCAATTCAAAGAACATCAATATAGTTTAAAATAGTTCTGTCCAGTACCAGTACCACCAAGTTCCTGAAAATTAAAATTAAAGCACACAAATATTATGAATGATCACAAAGAAAACTACATTCAGTCATCGCCTTCAACGTTTGCATCCAAATCATCATTCTCTTCGCTTTACTACGTGACATATTGTTACTTGCACTAGTACTAGTACTAGTACCACCACTTGACATCAATACAGTTTTGCAGAAGTTCAACAAAGGCCTTAAAATCGTTCTGGCCAGTTCAAAGAACATCAATATAATTCAGGATCAAGGAAACAGTTGGTTCAAAGTTAGTTTAAAATAGTTATGTCCAATTCAAAGAACATCAATATAGTTTAAAATAGTTCTGTCCATTACCAGTACCACCATTTGCAAAACGAGCCCTATCAACAAAACTAAGAAGCAACACATGCCAAGGAGGCATACATGCTGCAAATTTCCCCAAACAAAGTCAAGATCAAAACCTAAAAACCAGCTTTGTAGGTCGTCGGTGGTTCGAAGTCCATGATTGACAATTCTAATCTAAATATTAACCCCCTATTTCATAACCTTCACAAAAGAAAAAAGCTAGCAGCGCATGCCATTGAAAGAGAATCTACAAGCAACAGAGGCCAGGAAATTAAAATCCCTAGAAAGGTGAATTAATTACAAACATGGAAACAATTGAAACGAGACCAAGATGCAATCGAAAACCAGAGTGAGCTCTCACCTTAGACGAAGAAATCCCAAATCCAGCACTGCAACAGCTCCCCTCTGATCGGAGAGTACAAACCTTGCCAATGACAATGGACTTCAACAACCAAGAAAGAGATGTTGAGGAGGGAGCGGCAAAGAGATGTTGCATGCAAAGGAGGGAAGCGAAAATGGAAACGCCTCTTAGAGCTTGCAATCAATCAGTCGGCAAAGATGGAAGGAGCCAAGGAGGGTGCGGCTTGAGTTTGTGCTAGTGCTGGAGAAGAGTTAGGGTTCCAATCCCTGAAATCGAAGAATGAAGCTCTCTAGCCTTGGCAGTAGGTAAGAGGAGTGGCCAATGCTTTTTTTTTCTAGAAAAAATATGGTAAAAACGCTACAAGCGTCATGGAAACTCGTTTTTACCCTGTTTTTATGTTTTAACAATTTTAGCTACATTTTTTTTACGTTTTTGTGTACGAAGAGATTTTAGGTAGAAACTGAAGCGTTATAGTGGTATAGATAGGTAGAAATGTACTCTTTTATGCTTTAAAGCATGATTTTTACCGCATAGCCTCTACCAATGCACCTTATACTCATGAAGCAAAAACCAAATCCACTTGGATTTGAAAATCAAACTCAATACAAGGCACAAGGAAAAGGTGTCTCCAATCAGTCCCAGCCAGATTCGGTCATGGGGAAGAGGCTCGATCCAAATATAGTGTAACTCGACCATGATTGAGGTGGTAACTAAATTGCTACGGAGCTCTATTGTTTGCTGGAATTCAATCCAATCAATCAATGACAGTTCACGAGACAAATCTCTATGAACAAACGTGTTCTTTGATTAAAACTTTCTACCAATTACAATGCAATGGACGAGTGTTCAAATAGTTAGCTAGGTTAACAACAACTAAGAGACTTCCTAATTACATTAGAATTTGAAAAATAAGCTTAAACGGAAAAGGAATGACAATCCGAATGACACAAGGAAATGCAGAGTTTCTTGGCGGGCAAATAAGAAATCAGGCTCTATACGAACTTCAAGCTCTTTGTCCGAAGCCTTCCAAGTATCCAATCGATCAAAAAATTCCTTGCCTTTGAAGTAGAATATAACTACTTTCATTTGGTATAGGCATCCATACTCGACTCTTACCCATTTGTCTCGAATAGGACTTCAAAGTTGATTTAGAAAACTGTCTCCAACACTTAGCAATTTTCGGACATTTCTCAGGTTTCGGCATAGCTTTTGATCGGCTTGGAAAGTGAGCTTCTTGGATATTCCTCTAGCATCCAAGCACTCCAACTTGTATAGGACACTCCAGCTTCAAAACAAGTAGTTATCTTGAATTTTCACCGAGCTAATTGAGAAAGCTAGATGTGCAAAGTAGGCTACCTGAAACAGTCAAAATACTTGGCTAAGAATTAGGGTTCTTCATATGTGTTGAGTTAGCTTCTTTGGCAAGAAATTCTAACTTTTGTATTTAGCTATCTATGACTGTATCAGTCCCTCCATCTTCAAAAATCTTTGAGGGCAAAGCTTTGGCCTTCCTCTTATCAAACTCTTCACAAAATTGATCCCATATTGGCTCAAAAGAAGGCTGCCTGAACTGACTTTTCTGGAAAATTAGGTCAAAGTTCAACATCCAAGGAATTGGGGATTTTCTATTTAGGCATTTCCATCTCAATTTGTGGTGACCATTGTCTTCGCCTTGCTTCGAATTGTCTTCTGGGTCGGTCTCACAGTCTGACTCGTCATATTTATCGTCGAACAGACAATTCTCTGTTTCCCGTCATCGTCGATATTCAAATTCTCACAACCCTGAATTCCCAATTCAATTTTGGTGAGTTTAATTCCAGGCATCTCCGGATCAAGTTGAACTTCCCAATATCTTTCTGGAACAGCCTTAATGATTCCGCATAGACCATTGGCGTCGAACCATTCCTAATCTTTCAACCAACTCAGCGAATTTTCCTTCTTATTCTTGCATTTCTAGAGGCATTTGAGCTCAATGTTGATCTTGCAAGTTAGGCGTATTCGAGTCGATCCAGCCTATGAAGAAGATTCCTGGGGTCTTTTGAAAGATTTCGGTTGCGTTGGTTGAGTTTGACTCTATCCCAATTGCTCCGACCATTTCAGTATCTCTCTTGTCTTGTCCTGCCGTCGAAGAATAGAGCCTCCAGCTCTCTAGAAGCTGGTGAAGCTTTCCCCAGCTTAGAGCTGTGACATGAAATTTCAAGCCATCAAACCTTCTTCATCATGCTCTCCTGCCTTCGACTCTAAGACCCTTCCTTGTCTTTGCCCTTATTAGCCGTCATTTGGTGCTGATCAATGTGGACCTCTGCCGGTGATAACGACTTAAGCCGAAACTTGCGATTCCCTTGTCTGAACCTGTATTAATTGTTCCTTCCCTCGTGGAGTACCCCTCAATCATACTACCATGGTTGTCCTAACAGTAGATAAGTAGCTTGCATCGGAGCTACGTCACACCAGAGCTCATCCTCATATTGGCCGATTTTTAAACACACCTTTCCTTACTTGTTTGTCTTGGTTGTGCCATACTCATTCAGCCAATGAAGATTGTAGGGTTGAGGGTGCCTGATCGTACCTAGCCCCAGTTTCTTAATGGCGTTCAAGCTCACGACTTTTGTACAATTCCCCCCCCATCGTTTACCATGGCAAATAGCTTACCATCAATTGTACAATGAGTATGGAACAAGTTGTCTCGTTGCTCTTCGTCAGCGCGAGATTCCAAAGTAAGCGCTCGACGATTTACCCCAAGAAATTTGCCTGAGGGAGGGATTTCTGCTTCTACGGAATCGCCAACCTCAAAGTCAGACTCAACCTTTTCATTCATGTTATCCTCTTCTTAATCTTCTGAGACGTATTCACCATCTAGGAGTACCAATTTCTTCTTATTTGCACACTGGTTGGCATTGTGGCCTCTTTCGAAACACTTAAAATACTGATTGCTGCTTGTCGACCCTCCCGGCTTATCGTGATTCACCGGAGCAGTATTTCGAGGTGCCACCTTGGCTCCTTCCAATCTGGACTGCTCAGAATTAGCCGCAAGTGGGCGCTTGGAACAGGTTTCGAAGATGAGTGTTGTCTTCCCGCACTTGCTCGTTGTTGTCTTTCCACTTTAATCGTCAGGTGAACAACTTCTTCCACCTCTACAAAGGGGCGCGATTCCACTTCTTGTAAAATTTTGCGATTCAATCCATGGAGAAACCTGGCAATGGTATCCTCTTTATCTTCCCTAATGTCAGTGCGCATCATGAGGAGTTCGAGTTCATAAAAGTACTTGTCAATCGATTTAGAGCCCTACCGTAGTTGTTGTAGAGCTTCGTGCAGGTCGTGCTGGTAAAAACCGGTACAAATTGTTTTCGGAGTAGAACCCTCGACTCGTTCCAAGTCGTGATTTTAGGTTTCAAGTTCCTCCGTCGTCGGAGTTGGGTTTGCTCCCATAATTGTGCGGCGTATTGAGTGAATTCGTAAGTCCCAAGAAGCACCTTCTGTGTTTCGCTATAGTCACCACATTGAAAGAAAAGATATGTAGAGGCATTGTTGGTACCTAAAAATGTTGGCACTTGCAGCTTAATTCCTCTCAACTCGGCAACATTGTTTCCTGGCCCTCCTTCTAGTGACCGAAATTCGTGATGGCCCTCAATTTGATTGTTCGGGAATCTGAACCTCCCCTGCAACATTCCTTGGCTGAACATGGTCGTTCACCGTTGCTCTGAGTTCGATCAGTTGTCGATTTAAATTTTCAAACTGGGCTTGGATCGTGGCATTCTGTTGTGCCAGGATCATTTGAAGCAGCTTCGTAGCGTTGGCCTGCTGACTCGTTCCTACTACAACATCTCGATTGACGATCAAGTATAACCGCTGACCGGGTGTAGCATAGGGCAAGCAAGCAATAATAATTTATCGTACCACGGGGATCTACGCTTACCTTACTTCAGTTTATGGTTCATTATCTAGCCAACCTAGGATATTGATTAAGAGAATTAAACTAACCAACCTAGCTATTTACAAGATTGGGAGCTCTCTTGGGTTGAATCCTCCTAGCTCCATCGTAGGATCAATGTTGAGTACCATCCTATCTCGATCAAATCACTACCCTACCGTTAGGAGATGAACTCCCTTGAGACAGACCCGGAACGGTGAAGTGATGGACGGGTGGTGCTCTATTCAACCTAGGGCACCCCTACATCATAGGATCTTGATCCAATCGACTCCCTCGGGAATTACTCGGATGATATAGGGTGAGGAGTGACCCGAAGACGCCAAGAAAGGGGCTCTAAAAGGATTTTCTTCCTCCTAGGTTAAAAGCTGCGTGAAAATCACTAAATGTAATATAATAAAACACCATCCATCACTTTCGTCCAAAACTGATAGATGTCATCTTAAAGTTGCTGACTAAGCACTAACAACACTTATGTGACAAAATGAAATTCCTAATAATCTGCTAGTACTCTACATAACCAGCCATGTCACCATTGAGTTTGGTGACCTTCACGGCGCCGTTCCTCACCGATCACCGCCCCTGAAAAAAATCATAGATAACTCCAAACTATATATCTCATTATCCAACACTACCTTCTCTTAATTAGTAATGGCTCTAAGATTAGGTACAATATCCCAAATTACTTCTCCTTAATCGCGAAAATAACCCACCTTTGATCTACAGTGCTCTCTCAACAAATTTGTCACCAGCTGAAATCACCTAGAAAAGCAAACACAAAATCCTACTCCATCAAATTGGATTTATGCAAGTCTCCTAACCCAATCAATTTTATTATGACTCCATTGTGTGCCCCTCTGTCACCAGGTGGTATATGATAATGATGGTCCCGAACCATAAGATGTTTAAACTAACGGCCGCGACAGTTGTTGGTGATGGTGATCGATGAGGTGTCGACGTCGGCATCGTGAAGTGATCGTGCACGTAGACCAGAAGACGACGAGGTTGAAGATTTTGACGGAAGGTTTGGTTTTGGGTACGGCGGCAAGATACTGGATGGAGAGGATTTGTCTGGCGGCATCGCTTAGAAGAGGGGATTTTTTAGGAAGATGAGAAGGATTTAGGATACGAAGTTATCTGGAAGTCAATTGAGAAGGGGGAAGTATATAGAATTGCTAAATTTTTTGGTAGGGAGAAAGGATTCAAGTTTATTGACACGTATAATTTTTGGTCATATTATATTGGTTGGATGTTGCCACATTGGCGGCGTTAGTGCTTTGTCAGCACAGTTAAGTTGGCATCCATAAGATTTGGACGAAGATGATGGATGATATTGGTTTTCTTCAAGTATAGTAGCTTAGTTGAACTAAAATGGAGTTCAGTGGTAATTGTAAATTAATAAAGTG